TTATGTTACAGCCTGTTGCTTTATTTTATGATCTGAGATGCCATCAGACACAAATAGTGAAGACCAAAAAGTTTAATCACACAGATGATCAACTTAAATTACTAACAAAACCTGTTAATGCTAAGGAAGGATTATTTGTAGACTTTGCTCAGGCCTGGTTTGTAAATTGGCAGTGTGCCCTAGCTCTTCTTGTAGGTCCAGGAGTCGCTAGTATCTGCTTGATTATAACTCCTCATCAAGCCTCCTCTGTCATCAATCTTCTTTCTTTACAAGGGTTTTAGGAATTGAGGCTTAAAGGACACAGGAGACGAGGTGGCACCACAGAGAGAAATAAGGAAAACTATGATGTGAAGATACTGCTTTATTAGCGACCACACAATCCCAAAGACCTACATCGCACAAAAAGTGGCTTCCTACATGCCTTTAATTGTGGGAGTCACACTGAACACACTGCAGCATTGTAAATAGCCGCAGCTGCTTGGTTAACAGAAGAAGGACAGCAAAGAGCAGCGCTCTAAGGCTGCTACCGTACACAAGCAGCAGGACTCTGCTTACACTCAGCAAATATGAAAAGATTTCCTGGACAGATAGCTTAGCCTCAGCGGGAATACTGTTTACTGTTAACTAGAGGGATCAAGTCACTGCTAAAGTTTGAGAATTGTTTTATGTAAAACCAGAGCTTGACTTTTTTGTGGTAAGATTGGGGTAACCACGGTTACAGCTGTTACAGGTCCTTCAATGAGAAATATTTCTGACTTTGTTTTGTTAGATCTCTAACTGATCTAATTTATCTTCTCCAACGAAGCTGAAATTTCTGAAGCTGTTTTCTAATTTTGACTTTTTTCGGTTCAGTCGCCCTCTGAAGATAGATGGGAGACCCATAATTAAGAGAAAATTCAATATTTTGTGCTATTAACTCATGCGGATCCCCCTAGGCTGTCCCTGCTACTAATAAAAACTGACATTGGAAAAAAAACGAAAAAGTTAGTTCTACTTCCTGTGAAATGGTAAAAATGGCCTGCATTTGTATAGTGCTTTACTCAGTCCCTAAGGACCCCAAAGCGCTTTACACTACATTCACACATTGGCAATGGCAAGCTACGTTGTAGCCACAGCTGACCTGGGGCGCACTGACAGAGGCGAGGCTGTCGGACACTGGCGCCACCGGGCCCTCTGACCACCACCAGTAGGCAAACATGGGGTTAGTATCTTGCCCAAGGATATTTGGCATGCAGCCTGGGATCGAACCACCGACCTTCTGATTAGTGGCTGACCTGCTCTGCCACCTGAGCTACAGCCAATGAAATGATTTTTTTGATCAATTACTCAGCTGTTGATTATGAATATGGCTATTCATATATTTCTGTTGCTCGTACAGCCACCAAATAACTGAGTTCCTTCCCCAACAGGAAGCTTTTTTCTGCTGGTCTTGTTCTTGCGGTCACCACCCACAGTTAGACCCACAATAGGCTGGTATGGATGCACATCACTGCAGAAGGCCCTCCCCTCTCACTTGGTCATGTATTGGTAAAGTCAGTTATTTCAAATTTGAACCATAAAAACAAAACCAAAAGTTTTTGTTTTTGTTTTTTTTAATGTTTGAATGACATTAAAGTTTTTCTCTCACCAAGCTGTCGATCCATCCAAGATATATAAAAAACAAACAAGAGAGATGAAAAAAAATTGGCTGATTTATGGCTGATGCATCATACATTATTAATAACCCACAAATATACTAGTTTTAGTTTAAAAAAAGAAGTGAAGCATGGAGGTTTGCAGAGTATTCCCTTTCCTGGTTTTTATAGTAATCATGTTCCAGCATCACATGTAAACATGGTTTTTATTTTTTTTACCTTAGCCCCATTTCTTTCCTAACCCAGTTTATTCTGTGAATGTAAATGTGGAGCGTCTTTGGCTGTTGGTATGTGATGCTGTATCATATCGCAGCGAGCTGTGTCGGGGAGATGTGCTGTGAGGGTTTTTGGATTCAGAGTACAGGCAGCAAATGTTCAGAGGCACCAGGCTGTAGACCAGAACCAGGCCTCAGGACACCTGCTGCTTAAAGAAATAATCTTTATTAACTATTTCTGTGGTATTTATATGAAATACTTTTGTATTACTTCCTGTCAATGGCCACTGAGCCCGGGTGGGTCAAGCATAGGTAACAGATAGATGGATGGACTTGTTCCCACTTTATCTCACCCACTGAAGTCTTAAAGAAAAAAAATGACTCTCTGACATTATCTCCAATTATTCTCTTTACTTTGAATTAAAAACAAGAGCAAACAAACAAAATAGATCGATACAGTTGACATATTAAAGAAATGTGATTGTTACCGTCAAACATCGAATTCCAAAACTGACACTAGTTTATAAAACATAAAAACGTCTCAAAATCAGAGTTACATCTGGATCCAGGTTTGTCTGCATAAGTTTGTCGATGGTCTTTACATCACTGCAACAGTAACAGAATTACACAGACAGCAGCTACTTTAGTGACTCCAGATTTGAAAAAAGTCAAAACCAGGAGTGCTACCACAATGTGTAACACAACAGGCAAACAATATGGTCAAACCACAGAGTCCTTTACACACCATGGCTGCACTTACAAAAATACAAAGACAGTTGATTCTGAAAACTTTGGCATTTTAGGAAAATTCTCTTTATATATATCCTGGCTTTTATTTTTGATACTTTTGTCCAAAATTCCTAAAACTTTATGAGGATTTTTGCAAAGTGAATGATCACAACATAGTCCAACAGCACCCTGATCAATCTGACCAAATAAGTACGCAGAGAAAACTTTAATAACTATTATCACAAAATTAAATCCATTTTTTTTATTTGGCCTGATAAAATAAATGACTGTTATATTCCACCTACCCATCAACTCTGTGTATAGAGAGAGATGGACGATACGTGTTGCATGTATAAAACAATGAAATACAACAGAATACAAAATTATTCCTTCACATGAAATTAAAATGGAACAAAGAGAAAAGTTACTTAGTCAGTGGCTCTAGCCTTACTACACCTCTGCTTCGTTTCTTGTGCCTAAATCATCAACCAAACCTGCTAAACATAACCTAGTTAGAGATACTGTAGGAGGGACATAATTTTGTAAAATACTACCAAGTCTTTCCAAATTAAAATTACATTAAACCTTGTTAAAACAGGTTTTCACCAAAACAAAAGAAAAGAAAAGAAAATATTGAAATTATTACCCAACCTTTCTTTTTTAAACCATAATTAACATCTGAGTACCTACAGTTGATTTTGCACTCTAACCTTAGCAAATAAAAAGAAAACATAATTTCACAATGATTGGGATAGAATCCACAAAACAATTTAAATTAAGACCTGGGTTTAAAACAAACTGAATTTAGTCAGGAATTCATTGTTTCTGTATTATTGTTGGCTTAATTAGCCACTTAGCTATTCTCTCCCACGGGGCCCAAAACTGACAGTTCCAGAGCTCATACTTCTCTTATTTCATTACTGTTGTTTACAAGCAGCCTCGCTACTCTGATCCTAAATCTTTTATCGGTTCTCTTACATCTGCTGTTGGAAAAACAGGTGAGGCAAACAGTAACTAACCCGGCTACATCCTTTAGTAGAAAAATCATTTCCCTCTTTCAAACAGCAGACCTGACAGTCACTCTGTGTGATATGTAGAGCAACAGCTATCACATCTTTAACCTTTTTTTCTTTCTCTGAGCTCCCTTTAACTTTCTTGGTGGATGTGAAGAATTCTACATCAGTATGATATTGCCAGTTCTTCAGAATGGAATGACTTAGAGAAGAAAATTTAAATGAACCAACCAACAAACAAAACGTATTAGCTTGTAAAATTACAAGCCAATACCATTTTGTAACTTTCTATTACAGTCCACTTACAAAAGCCAAGCTAATATTTGGAGGAACTATTAATATTAAACTTTAATAAGTTCAGATACATTCAGCTTTTACTCCCACCTCTGCTTCGGGTTGCCTTTGCTTTCCAGCACTCTTGTTAACCCTGTTCTGCAGCATCTCCTGTTATTTGATTGGTCTCAACAATTTGTCTACAAGGAAAAAAGTTGTTGCTTATGAATGCTGATAACATCAATGTCTCATACAGGTCCCACAACGCTGAGCATGTTTAGCCTAATAACAAATTTATTGTTTCACTGTGGCTTTGTACCACAGAAAAACATCATCCAACACCATATTTCATTTTATTACAACGAAGTGAATTGTACATCTGTGCAGGGGCTTCTAAAAAAATTCAATATCCTCTGTCTTTATAGAGATTTAGTAATCTTTAAAATTAAATTTCAACCACTGAGTATAATGATGCTGTTTTCATATGAGCAGGTATTGATGGTTTTCTAACACTTTAAAAATCACTGGCTGTTTAGTCACAATGCAGAGCAGAACCAGAGAAGCTGTCTGATGCAGAAGATCTGCTCCACAAAGGGGTTAAAATAATGCTTTTCATATGAGGCATAGATAGGTGTCCACAAAACACCTGACATGTTAAACTGCAACTGATTCATTACTTTGATGATGACTTCTCAACTCCAAGGACTTAATTTTTGTTAAACAGCTCTTTTTTCAACATCCTCTCAGTGTATAAAACCACTGAAACAGCAATGTGTTAAAAAAGGTGCATTCTTTTTGCTCTCATTATTCATTGAATCTTTGCCATGACGATGCCATCTGTTTCATCTAGTCTAATTTAAATTGTTGAGTAGGTGTGTGTTTTAACTGCATAACATATGCAACACCATTTATTTAGTCAATGGAGCTTGCAAAGAAAAGCGTCTGGACTTCTTTAAGTTGCTTGAAGACGTTTCACTTCACATCCGAGAAGCTTCTTCAGTTCTAAGGTCAAATGGTGGAGAGTCCCAGATTTAAACCTAGTGGGAGTATCCCCCGCAGAGGGACAAAAGGACCCCCTGATGATCCTCTAATCGCCTGAGCCAAGGTGTGAAACTGGGTGTGGGTCCTAATCAGTCAGGGTTTCGGGTGAGCTCATAGTGAAACCTGGCCCCACCTTATCATGCGAATTCCATTTATTTACTTTCCTTTTGTCCTTTCCTTACACCTGGTTAGTGACTTTTGGTGGGATATTGGGTGCAGTATTAAAAGACAGTGACTTACTTAAAGGTACCCTGCAAAGATTTTGGCTCATGGTAAAGTAATACATAACTATGTAATACGACACTGATGGTCGTGCTATCAGTGGGAGTTCCCATATTCTAGGTTTTTAACCAGTAGGTGAAATTATTTAGCTCTCACAGTGACTGCTGCTGAGGCTCATTGGGACCTGCACTAACTGAAAAGTTGGGTTCTGCTAATACTGTGTCATTCTGGCCTCTTTGAAACAAGCTCATAAACAGAGTGGGTTTGGTAAGAACTGCTGAACATAACTGGTGTTTGTTTTAAACACAACTCCACAGGGCACCTTAAACTGATTCCTTACTCCTTACATAGTGATGCTTGGTCAGAAACTTCTTCTACTCTAATTCTAATAGTGGGTGCACCATCTTATCTTCATTTTCAGTTGGATTTAAATGGACTAAACACCACAGGATTACTTTTACCTTCAGGCTCATTATTGCCTGATCCATACATTGATGGACTCCGGGTAAACCGTACCAGGTGGCACTTTGCAAAAGCAACATTAAAGGGATATCCAGGGTGTCAAAATCGGAATCCATGTGGTCCAGACCAAACATCACTATGTGATGAGTTAAGGGTGAGACAAGGTTGGTGTGTGCATTCATAGTGCAGACAGTGATTTTTTACAATTTTAGACCAAGCCCATGCAAGTGTCAGGCACTGAGACTGAGTCTGAAACGCCGCTCCAAATATTTCCTGGCAATAAATCCATGGTGCAAGCTCACCTTCATGCACTGTTCCAGCTACTTTCCTCCTTTCACATCCTTCTCCTCATATTAGCAAAAACAGTAAAAAACAAAACACACTAGATAGTATATAAGCATTTTTTTTTTTGGAAATGTCATCATAAAAATGCCAGTGTGCACGGATAGTTTGGCTTGAACATAATATAAACTATGACCTTTACAGTGGATACAACTGCACTTAAATACACTTTTTCCTGCCAATCAAATGTCTCCTACTCTGCTGTACTCATCCTGCACCATGTCAGCTTCAGTAATCATCCTCTCATTTGCATATAAAATCTATTTAACCTCAACAGTCATATACATTTATTCACAAATGTGCACAAAATACAAATATAGATTCATTTATGGATTCTCTCTAATTACTGAATGTCTGCCTCAGACATGTTCTTCCTTTTGTTGTTTTCAACATAAAATACAGAAGCAGCAGAAGTTTTTTTTTCATCCCCTTTTGACAGCTTCATCTGACCTCTGCAAGTGTCTGGAGTTCTGGTGTATTTAGGCTCGTCCTGGTTCTTCCTCCTCCCAACACTATCATCTGATAAGGTGGCAGGAAATCCAGTCTAATCCCCACTGATCCACCCAAAGGTATGATAGAAGGTAGACACCACATGACTGATGCCAGGGAGCTGGCAAAATGAAGGGGCAGCTGAGGTTAGAGCAGCTGAGCATCCATGGAAAATGTAGTTATGTGAACAATGTCTGACTTTTTCACCCTTGTTGTCCAAAGTGTTGTAACAAAATAGAACTGTTTTGTTGGGATGTGCCCAACTGTGTTTCACATCATCCACACGGACGGTACCGTCTTTTCATCTCTCTGATTTGGCTCTCAGACTGGAAGATAACGTTCAAAGATTGTTTGGTGAAAAAAAATTAATTGATATGTTTGTCAAGAGTAATTTTGTCTTTTGCGGCAGTGTACAAAAGATTCTGAAAGAGCAGCGAGCCTGAAGATGGGGATGATGATCTGTGATGCACATGCTTGTTTACAACATTTTTGAGGAGCAATCACAGACCTTGTTCACCTGATCTGTTGATGAAGCTGTGTGAATCTGAGGAAACTGTTGTGGAAATGTTGAGCATTTAAAGGCTTCTTCTGCTTTTTCAGTGACCTCTGTATTTCTGAACCCCTGACTTTGAGGCACATTGTCTTTGGCACTTAAAATCTCAGACCCTACACTGTAACCACAGAGGGGGGAAACTGAAATTGCTTGCACTGGATTGGCCTTTAACCAGGATTTTGTTTCAGTTTCTTACACACAGCTCTCGTCTTTGTCTCCCTGGCTTTTGTTCTGCCTGGATTTTTTCATCTCCTGCCCAGGAGAAGAGAACTCTTTTGCTCCACTGCTACAATGCGCCACTCCATTTCCTAACTTCCCGATGTCTCCCAAAGGTAGCTGGGTGGAGCTGTAAGCCAGTGGGGGGATGGTGTTCACCAGTATAAGCTGAAGAGGTTTCTTCTCTGGCTGGTACTGGCAGCGAACGTATCGCAGAAACGCGGCGCGGTACGTCTTATTGAATAACGTGTAGACCAGTGGGTTGACTGCAGAGGACAAGTAGCCTACCCAGACGAAAACATTCAGCAGACCTCCCATGACTCCCGGGTCACAAACGTCAGGTTCACACACCACCACCAGCACATTGGTGATGAAAAACGGGCACCACATAACCACAAAGAGAAAAAACACCACCCCAAGGACCTTTGAAGCCTTCTGCTCGTTGCTGATCGACTGCATGGTGCGGCGCCCAAAGAGAGAGCCAGATATGCTCCCGCGGGCACCACCCAGCCCGCCGGTGCTCCCTCTGCCTGTGGCGTCACGGCTTATCGATCGCCTGAGGAGTTTCTCGGAGGACAAAGATGTTTGTGGAAAGAAGCTCAAAGTGAAGGTAGTGCTCCATTTGGGCCGTGGGACCAGCTGGTCCAAGCAGAGGGTGGCTTCGTTCTGCAGGGCGTTGATGGTCAGGAAATAGGTGACGACCATGATGGTGAGGGGGATAAAGAAGGCCACGAAGGAGCCGACCAGCACGAAATTGTTATCTGTCAGCAGACAGCTGCCATCTTTGAAGACCTTGGAGTGGTCTCTGAGACCCAGCACAGGAATCGGCATTGAGATCCCTACAGAGAAAGACAACAGCAGAGACATGAGGAGAATATTACAATTAGATAACAACCTCTATGATTCATGTAGATATTAGTGTTTGTGTCTGTACCAGAGGAGATTAGGGTCGGCTGGTGAGAGGAAACCTGGCTTTGTGCAGCAGTGGATGGATTTTCACATGAGTTTAAGTTTTATAGTCATAAATCAAAACTATTATCGGAGCACACTGATTTGCAGGCTTTATCTGTGTAAACAAGCAAAACTTTTTTGGCATAGAGACGCTGAAAAAAGTTCACGTCCCACAGCCCACGGTTTCTATCACTCATTAACAATAAAACAAAGATCCAAGTTACTTAACCTCCTAAGACCCGAACTCTTTCATGGCATGCATTTTAATTTTTTCTTTGCTATTTGGGTTGATTGGGACCTGATGAATGTAAAAACAAAGAATTACCAGATTTTTTGTTTGATTACCTAATTTTTATTTCTGAGACAAATGAGATCCACATATGAGGACATTGGTTTTAAATCTTGATAGAACAGTGGCAGTATAATGTCCTGGTAAGTGGATATCAGGCCCTTGTAGAGAAAAATTAAGTATTTTCATCCAGACATCCAAAAATGTGATGTCCACATATGTGGACGCCAGGTCCTAGGAGGTTAAAGCTCAGCTTTTTTTTCCTTAAGAAAATGACATCCAACTTCACGTCATAGAACTACACCTGTGGTGGCTCCTTGTCTCACTCCAGGACCCTGCCCCACAGTTTGAAACCACTGATTTAGCAGAAGTACTGTATACACACAAACAGTGTGTACATATATTTCACATATATTAAATCAAAGGTTTATGTAGTCAAATAATTGTTTGTTAAGTAAAATATAGACTGAATGTATACCAATCAAACACACTTATTTGACCAGATTCCATTAACTTTAACATTTCACGTTGCAATTATGTAACAAAATTACATGGATTACATTTAAATGTAATCAAATTACTTTAAGTCAGATCTTTGAGCTTAAATATTTCTTTTGAGTGGAGCTCACCAGTCTGCTCTATTTCACCGCACGGACACAACAGTTGGACCATATCTGTTCCCAAATAAAGGCGTCAAATTTTCCATTAAGTTTGCAGCTAAAACAATTTTTTCCATTTTTCTGTCTGTCACAGTGTGGGAGGAAAGTGCAGGTTTGCCTCCACCTTACTCCTGTGGGCTGAATCTGAGGTTTGACAGTGTTTCCTTCTCCCTCTGTGGCTGACAGTAGCAGTTCACCTTGCATACTTGCCCATTTTATTACCCGATATACATCGGCTTTAAAACGTTTAACGGTGAACTTCCTTTATTGTTTTGGGTTATTTGTTCTTTTTAATTGTCTGCAGGGGCTTTGGCAGTCACACGTTGTGATAAATGTAATAAGAAAATGTCTAAAAAAGGTTTTGGATGATACTAGCAGGAACTGGGTAGAAGGAGATAAACTGAGCAATCTCCCACACGCCATGTTCTCATTACCGGCTCATAACAAATAGAAGGAAAGTGACAGAAAGAGACAGAGATAGAGCGGGGAGAGGAGGAGGGCGAGATGGTTGGAGATGGACGGGCGCAGCGAAGGTAGACTGAAATTGTTGCTGCACATTAGGAGCAGGAGGGTCAAAGATGGATAATTCTCATTAAGTTTGGCTGGTTTGACAGAAAACTGGTTTCGGTGCTTCACTGTGAAGCTTTGCAGCCCTCATAAAAGAGATATTTACTCCCATCCCAGTCGGCCTTCGTCTTGCTTTATTCTCAAGAGAAAGATGGTGCAGAAATGATCAGCCAGTTAATCAGTTTATTGACAACAGTCATGAATGTATAATTTTGAAACGTGAAACAGAAACACCATGACAACAGTGTTTCTGGAACATAGAGGAACATACAGCTGCCTGCTTCAGGGAGCGTGGGTGGGTGGACTGTCATCCTTCTACTTTAAAAGTATCGATGGTATTGTATTTAAAGCTGCAAATGCTGTAGTACAGTTTCAGAAGGTGCTCTGCATTACAAAACACAACAATGACAACAGCAAAATCAGTAAGATACATCATCTGGGAATTGTATTAAAGCAGTTGTAGTAACTTTGAGCTGTTGCTGGCTCTGTTGGTCCTCTAGAAAGCACAAAGGACTGTAAAAGATTTGGTGACAGTCCAAAGAGCTGTACATATTTCATGAGTGTTTATGTTTTATTTGTGTAAAATCTGAAATGAAAAAAAAAATCTGTTTTTACAGCTGCTTCAGATACTAAAGTTTGTTTGTTTTTTGACTGAACAGCTTTGAAGATCTTTGAAGAGTGTGCAGTCTAATAGGCAGCTTTAGAGGTTGTGATAACCTGAGCGTGATTATGATGATAATACAACAGGACGTTGTGCCTTTTTGCAGCCTTTTTGTCTCTTTCCACCTGGACTTTACTATGATGCTTTTGATTCCTTGTTTTGAACTTTTGAACTTGTTACAATGTAATGTTGAAATTCTTGCAACGTCACTAAAACAACACTAAAACACTAAAAACAAAAGCTGACCAGTTATTTGGAAATATACTGTGGTGTAGTATTATCATCAGTGACAACGATGAGGCCGCCTACAGGGAGGAGGTGGATCGTCTGGCTGAGTGGTGTGACAGAAACAACCTGCTGCTTAACACCGAGAAGACCAAGGAGCTCATCGTGGACTACAGGAGGAATGCTGACCCACATCCACCCATCCACATTAAGGGGACGGCTGTGGAGCGTGTGAGCAGCTTCAAGTTCCTGGGAGTCCACATCTCCGAGGATCTCACCTGGACGACCAACTGCTCCAAGCTGGTCAAGAAGGCTCACCAGCGCCTCTTCTTCTTGAGGACTCTGAGGAAGAACCACCTGTCCTCAGACATCCTGGAGAACTTCTATCGTTGCCATAGTGAGAGAGCATCCTGACCAACTGTATAACAGTCTGGTACGGGAACTGCTCTGCCTCGGACCGGAAGGCGTTGCAGAGGGTCGTGAAAACTGCCCAGCGCATCGCCGGAGCACCACTTCCTGCCATAAAAGACATCTACAGGAAGCGGTGTCTGAAAAGGGCTGGGAAAATCATCAAAGACCCCAGTCACCCATCACATGGACTCTTCACCCTCCTGCCCTCTGGGAGGCGCCACAGGAGCCTCCGGACTAAGACCACCAGGTACCGGAACAGCTTCTTCCCCACAGCTGTCAGACTCCTGAACTCTGCCTCCTGACATCTGACCCACGTTAAACTCATAGACAGAACATACACACACACACACAATGGACAACTGTACCCTCAAACACACAATAATAACATGGACTGAACCACCACTCACAACCACTAGCACTTTATATAGCCTCTGTAGAAATTATCTACACCCTCACTTATCTTAACTGCACTACTGTATAGCTCTGTAATAATCATTCTGTACATATGATAATTTTTAATCCTACAACTGTTTACAACTTGCATAGTTCCCATTTCTGTATAACAGTATATCTCAGATTCTGTAAAGTTATTTATTTCATATTCTGTATAGTTTTTCATATTTATATCCTGTTCATAGCCTGTACATACCTATAGTTATAGAATATTCACAACATACTTCATACCGTGTACATTATAACATACCATAATAGACCCATTTCTGTAATATATTTACATATCTATATTATTGCTAATATATATTATAATATACCTATATCACTAAAGCACTTCTGGATGGATGCAAACTGCATTTCGTTGCCCTGTACCTGTGCATGTGCAATGACAATAAAGTTGAATTCTATTCTATTCTATTCTATATAATCAAATAAAGTTACTCATGTCCAGGTATTAACAAATTAATACCCATTATCCATTGCCTACTCCCATAAAAGTTTGGTTAATGAAAGTAAAGTAAGTAAGTAAATCTTGCTTCCATTATCTCACTTTTACTTCTCTACAAACATCTTAAAGTACGTTTAAAAAGAATGAAGACTATCTATATAAAATATGATATTGTTCTCTTAAAAGGAGTTTTGGACTCTCGTCATGTCTTATTGTGGTTGATTTTGATCTCTTTGCCATTTAATCTCTTCATATAATTTTTATGTAGTTTAGGTTGAGTTTGTCAGAGTCTTTAACTTTTGGTCATTTCTGGCATGTCTTATTGCTTGATTAACCTTCTAATGAGAAACATTAAAGATGGATTTTACCCAGAGCCGCCCTGACACTTTGGGCCCAAGACTCTTACGTAGCAGGCCTGTCCCTCCGTGACAAATGCAAACTCAGACACGCTCACAATGTTTGATTGAGAGCTGAAGAGTGCTTTTAGACTCGAGGCTCACAGACAAGCATGATATGGCATCTGCTGTGCCGTTATTAAACTCCATGGTGATAACATTCGGGCTAAATGTCGATGTGCTATCAAGCTCCTCATTACAAAATTACGTTTTGTAGGTGAGTAGAGGCTGTCTGCTGTGGATATGTGGCTTTGTATGTTTTTAAAAAGCAGGTGATTAGGCACAGACGTATTTTTCATCATTACTGTGGAGCGGTTAGGCAGCTGACGGACTGAAGGTGTCAAAGAAAAAGAAACACTCAAAAACAGAGCTGGATTCAAAGAGAAAGGAAATATCATTAGTAACTTTAAATTGCTGTCTGCTTCATATCCAGCCGATCAAACGTTATTTGTCGAGGTGACGGTGATACAAGTCCCTGGATTAATTTTGTTCTTCAGATAAGTCCCTCAAGCATCCATCACACAGAATCACAGAAATCAAAAGCTAGTTGTTGTTTTTTGTGTTTTTTGGCCTCCTTCTCTTGTCCCTGATGGCAAACTCAACACTGAGGACATGAACCAAATCGGTCAGGAAATAATATCTCAGAGGTGGAAAAGAAGATGAAAGACGATCAAGTGGGAGAAAACAGAGGGGAGGGAGACACAAAGGAGATGAAGAAGAAGAGAGAGATGATGGAGAATGCTTCAGTCTGGAAGTATAAATCAAGACATTTAGGAGAAT